TATCTCAAAAGTACAAGTGGTATTGGTACTCGGTATCGGTGGGTATTTAAGACCCATAGAGCCCCCGCCTGAAGTTCATCAACACAAGTGAGAAGTGTTGCAGTGTCACCTCTGTTGGACCTTGGTGTTTACTTTGCTTTTTGCCACACGATCACATTTTGGATGCAAAACTTTTATCCTCTGCCACGCCCAGACGGTGTCGTCTGATTCATTTTGGGAAGAGTTGCTGTAGACGCGCCCGTCCATTAGGTAATCACAGTGGGCAGAGCCCAACTTTAAATGGAATTAGAGAAGCTGATGTGATTGGGCTGCATTTGATGCCAGCCACTGAGCAGCCTTCAATAATGTATTCTAATCAAAGCTGTTCCCGGATATGCATAAGCGGTCACATCCTCGGCATCTCATGCACTTGACTTGTGCCATCGAGCGGTAATTTATGAAAGCAGGAGATCTTCAGGTTGCTGTTACTGCTGCGTGGATTTCTTTTTTTTTTCCCCACAACAAGTGATTCTCTAGTTTGAATTGACTTTGTCAGCGCTCGAGCACATTTGCCAATTACTTATTGTGTTGAGTAAATTATCACACATAATTATTGTGTTAATGTTTTTATGTGTTTATCCATTAGCAACACCATAGCCTATAAAAATGCTAACTGACTGTCTGAGCTGAACAACGGCAGCTTCTAGATCTCTTTATACAGCACTGTGCACAAAACAACACAAACACATTGTTCTAAATATCTACTTCAGTTAAAAGGCATGATTATTTGTGTCAGGGGTATGAGTCACACTTAACTTCAGTTTATATCTTTGACAAAAGTTATTTATTGATATTTGAAGATGCTAAGAGATGCACTGGTTTCCTCACTAAAGTGATATATATAGTGTATATATTTAGTCTCTTCATCACACCTTTCTCTACACCTTTGTTCCACCTTAATGATTGAGACCTGAGTTCCATGAAGTTGAACAAATGTAGCACTTACCGGAAGTGTTGCCTGTGATGAAGATTGACTGGAAGCCACTCATTTGTGTAGATGAGCGTGAAATCAGGGTCATGACGTTGGAACTGAAGTCAGGCTGCTCTCCACACAGTAGCATATTGAAACTGCCAATCATGTCCTGCTGGAAATTCAATTCCCTCGCTTCCTGAAAGACTGCGGAGGCCTGTAACCTGACCAGCTGGACACAAAAAGGTGAAAATGATACGTTTCCAAAATTGATCAGCAGCTGTAATTCTGACATTTGCAGAAATATAAATGTAAAGTCTGAAGTAACAGCACTCACCTCCTGCATCAAAGGAAAAGCAGACTGAGCCACATCATTGAACTGTATCATGGTGTCTGCGTTGTTCTGACCTGTCACCTAAAAGAGTTACATTAACAGCCGTTTACAAACCAATTCTGTTATTTGATATTTACTTTCTAACATACTGATATCTGAGAACAACAGAGACAAATACAAACTGCCATTCCAATTGTGAGACAAAAGTGCTTGAAAGTCTCGCCATTTGGAAGGTTCCCTTTTGGTAGTTATATCTGCAGTAAGAGGGTGTATGCCATTGTGGTAGGTATGGTGACCTGACAGGACACTGGCAAACAAACTGTGGTCCAACTAGGCATTTTAGAGTCTCAGAGATCCAGAACAATTAGAAGCTAATAGTTAAATGTGTTCCTCCAACATTGTTTTAATGCTAATGTGGACATTAGTGAAAGTGGTACAGCCCCGCTGACTATCATGCTGTGTTGTTACACAATCTTCTTTTCTGTGATGGTTTTTCAAACTTGAATTTCCCCTCAAAAGTAAACTATACAAATTGAGTTGCTGCTGACTGACTATGTCTCAAGTACATTCATTTGCGATCACTTGTGTGCAAGGCAGATGTGTAGGAGAGACTCAGTGAGAAACAAACAGGTATTCCGTTCGGTCAACTGTTGGGGTAAGGTAGGGTGGGGGGAGTATTGAAAATCAGCAGACAGAAATCAATGGACAGGAGAGATTTAAGTCTTGTTACTCTGTCACATTAGAAGGCAAATAAAGTGAGGCCAGGCACAAAACCATTAACTTCCAATTCAATTGCACTTCGTTATCAAAGATTCCAGAAGCTGTGTTTCAAGAACAAGGAACAAAAAAGCTAGAAATACGACACAACTAAACAGATTTGAACTGCATGGAAAGAATGCAACAACACGGGTCATTTGAACAGCTTTTTAGGAAATACATCAAATTGTTAACAACTCGGAGACATGACATTCAAAATCTGCTGTTTCTCTACTGTTACTTTGTGAATGTCTGTGGCCTGATCCTGAAAACAGTTGAGAATAAGTTGTGGAACTGAACGACTGAGTTATCCTCAGGTCTGTCCACCACTGATAAACCCTGACTTCTCTTCTTGTCTGTCTTTTGTGGTGTTGCTGTTGTTGTTGTTGTTGTTGTTATCACAATCATTCAGCAATGTCAACCTTTAAGTGTGATGCTGAACATGGGCTTTTTTTATTTTACTCAATCTATTTGCTTGAGGCACTGAGGAGCTTTTCTACCATATCTTTTCTAGGCTTCTTCTACTCCTGCATCTAAAATTGCCTCAGGGCTTAAATTGTTCAAATGCAACACTCTCTCTCCCCCTCTCTTTCGCTCTCTCTCCTACTAACTTTCCTGACTTATCATCTATATAGTGGATTTGTTGTCTCAACTTTTTTTCCACAAAGATAAAATGAAAAAAGAAAACATTTAACATGAATCCTGACAAGAAAACAAATTGATAGTTTTGAAAGCTAAATAGTAGACAGATAGGACACACATGTGCCCTTCAACTGAAGTGAGTATTAAATGTATTAAATATTTAATTGTCTAAAAGGGGATTTGGCCACAGTTTGAACTTATTTCACCTCAATATCTTTCATAGAGTGATTACATATAATTGTACATAAAACTTAAAAAAACATTTAATTATTATAATTATTATACTTTTCATTATTTTTCACTGCAAACAAGCCATGGACTTTGCATCATGAATCATTAATGTGAATAGCCCTAGATATTTACACCTCTGAGAAATTCTTAAAGTACTTAGTGTGACCACATACCTTTTTGTCAACTATAAAGTTTTGGAACATTTTAACAGGAGCAGAATGCTGCTAGTAAATTGTGACACTTTCTGTCACTATGACCTATAAGAACTGATTCTATGTACTCTTTTACTAAATATAAAAAACAAGTCCAAATTCAATGACAGTCAGTATTTGTAGACCTAAATGTGATTGAATGAAAAAATGACTCACAATCATTAACCCTACACAAAACTAACTGATGTCCTATGACCACCAAAAGACACTCACCCCGGACAGCACTTTCCTGACATCCAGGTTCTGCAGTAGCATTTGCTGGGTGTAAATCAGCTGCTGTTCAGTGAGCGAGCAGCTGATGTTCTGGAAGGTCTCTCTTTCAGCAGGGCTGCTGAATTGGACGTACTCGTCCAAGTTTGTCCCCTCGCACAGCACTGTCCTCAAGCCACCTGGCCTTTGAACGCCTCTCACCTGGATAAACAACAAGCAGTGTGACACTGACAAACAAGCAAACTGTGTGTGACCACTTGATATTTAATCATGTTTTGTTTGCTTCAAAGATCGAGCTCGTAAATAGCTGAGAGAATAATTAAAAGCCCATAAGTAAATGGTCATGTTGTTTTGGAAACAACAAACAACTGAGACACAAATGCTACAAGAGTAATGCCCACACACAAATAAAACATCATTTTTAACATGCAAATAGGGATAATACATAAATTATGAATCATAGTATTAATAGAACTTTTATTTTCAGGCCACAAACAATGATTTGTACAAAAATTACTTGCGGCTGTCAATCAATTCCTGCGCAGCAGGGATCTTTTAATGAGTTCACCAGCACTTTATTTTACCATCCTTGTCAATGTCAGTAAAACATAATTAGCTTCATGCAGCTCGTCCAACATTATTTGGTTCTACTAATTGGGGAACATTTTGAGACAAGGATTTTTTTCTGTTGGTTGTTTGTTTCATTGTTACATCTCTTGTGCAGGAAACTGCAAATTATTATGTCGTCCAGTGAGTGTCACAGTTGGCTTCAACGGTCATTGTTAAAACAGTGGCCAACATGTTTCTGTTATGAACATTAATAATATTAAAATAGTAATAATAATAAAGGGTGTATTTGTGTTTCAGAGTGGTTTGGTACCACACTGTTTTGTATTCATTTTGAGTGATCAGGCTTTGAAATGAAGACTTACCTGAGTGATGTTCACGGTAGCGTTCATGAGGCTGTCAACAACAGTTTCTGGCACTGACAAGTCCTCTTTCAGGTACGTGGAAAAGGTTTCATCCTGTCTCAAAATGCTCCTCAGGGTGACTGGTTGAACTTAAACATAGATGTGTAGAGTCATTATATTTAAAGAGCTGCATGTTTCAGATACAACATTCACTGAGCCCTGATAAATAAGGGCAAGAAATACTTCAATAAGTGTTGAAATACTGGATATAAGGCATTCAGATTTGACCTTGACTAATACTACTAGTGCTGTACATTATTTACTTTCAGATTTACCCTTCTGATACAAAAACATATAGTTAAGGATTTCTCTGAAGTTATTTTGCTATAGGTTCAGATCTCCATGGTGCAAAAAGTAATCCAATACTACAGTAGTACTACTCTGAAGGACAATTACCATAAAATAACTTCTTTCATTGATTTCATAGATTTCTGTGAGGAATACTTTTTCCTCTGTAGAAATGGCTTAACTTTAACATAAATGTATGCACATTACATAAAAAGGAAAACTGTTTTTCTACTTTCTACTTTAAACTTTCGAGATGTTGTTTTATGTAGGTTTTGACTAAATATAATTTCTTTTAATGTAAACCTAAAGTCAAAGAGCTCTAGTTACATGAATGAGACTTTTGTAAGAGGACACGACTGGACTGTTAACCATCTATGTCTGAAAACATTTCATTAAGCCACTGAGTCACTGCCTTCATTTAATCTGATAATTCACTTTGCATTGTTTATACTCAGATAGTCAGTTCACTGTGGTAATAAGGGATAGAACTGACTTCATTATGAGGAATTTGTTGGAATAAATGCCAATTCATTAAAATCTTAAATTTAATATCCTTCTAGCAAAAACCTATGTCTCCTTCTGGTCAAAGATGACGCCCCTCATCCACCAGGAGGGCAGCATCAGAGCCACTTAATGTTAGGTCATGAGAAGAACAAGCTTGAAGCTCCACTTGAACACTGCTGCCTCTCTGATTGAAGTGACAACCTGAGACTTATAATCAACCCTTGGTTTAGAAAAAAAAAATCAAAAGAGGACAACACAATCACCTTTGCCACCCTGGTTGTTCTACAGCACTCAATTCCCCTCATTCTTCCGTCTGACCTTCTGTGCTCTTGCCTTGGATGCCGAGTTCCATTAATTATGACCAGCCTCAGATCTTTGATGGATTTAATCTTGTATATTACAAGCCGACGACCCCAAAAATGCAAATGCACACCTCCGCCTCCCCCTGCCTTTTTGCAAATTAGGTGCTGCATGAAAATCTGAATATCATCAGGCTAAATGATCCTAATGCAAAGCAGCAAGTTACCAAGACAAACGATCTGTCAGTCTGCACGGGAAATAGCATCGTAAATAAGTGTGCGTTGTTGTTTTTTTTTTGTTTTTGTTTTTTTTTTAGTATAAAGGGGACTAACAAATCCTGCAACTTGTCAAAGGGATACTTTCCTTGATAGAAAATACTTAACGGCCATCACGGAGGGAGATCGACTTTGAGTAATTCACACTAACAATCACAATCACTGAGCAGCATTTTCACTTACGATTAATATCAGTGGAGAAAAATCCACTGTGTGTGCACCCTGCTGCTCTTGACCAATTACTGTGATTGTACATGGGTTACCATTTAACAAGCCGTTCATTTTTTGTGCCACAGGTCAATACAAAAAAAGACTGTAATGTATATTCAGTTATTCTTACCATTAATGGAATTAAACTGGAGCAGCATCGAGTTCCACCCTTCCACAGCGTCCGCCAACGTCTGTGCTTTACTGACAACAGACCTGTTCTGCAGGAGGGCCTGAAGCTCCAGCAACACTCTGGAAATTCTGTGAACCCGAAGCAGACGGAGACCTCCTGATAACTAAGACGTGTGGGATATTTAATGCTGCCCAAAAGTAAAAAGAAAGAATGTCACAACACATACATGGAGTTATTGAAGTTGTTGACTTGTCCTGGTGTCTCCCCCGGTGTCGAGTAGTTCCAGCAGGGATTCTGGATGTTGCACATCATACCCTGAATCCAGGGAAGCACGCCAGCCGATGGCATTGCTTTATTCGGGTAATGACCTAATGGAATAGAAGAATACTTACTCATCTGCTCTGTGTGCCTTTTAAAAATAGACCTCGTAACAAATGATAGTGTTTTTATGTGTCCCCGCTTTAAATATTCATGTCCTCAATATTTTGAATATATAGTGCGACGATGACTTATTCACATTAGAGCCTGTAAAAACGCACTCTGTTCTGCATATTTAAAAGGCTGAGAGTAAAACAATAATAACAGTGCTACTGACTTACATTGGCCTTTATGAATTGGCTGGATGGTGGAGCGCACCGCCATCAGAATGAAGAAGAGGACCAGAGGCCATATCACCTCAACCACCAGTCGGACCTGTGAATAAATTAATTGTTTTGACAGTAGGTTAATTTAGAACAACGTGGATATAAATTTTAAGGATATATTATGAGACTGCAGCTCATCCTCCCTTGACATTCCTTTCCTTTTTTGCATCCCTTGTCACTTTACTCCAAACCCCTGCCACCAAATTATAATATAACAAATCTTACAGTAAATCTTGCAACCAATTTTGTCCCTGATGTTAAAATTTCTCCAAACTGCGGATACCGTCGACCTACTAAAATCACCAACCAATGAAGACAATGACACAATACAACTGGTTGTGGTGAGAAGCTGTGACGTAGTGAGAGGCACTGGATTGGTACTGGTTTAGGAGCACATACATATGTCAGACTCAAGGCCTGTGGGCCCAATCAGGTCTGCAATGTCATTTTGTGTAACAATATTTTATTCTGTTGGATGTGACTGTTTTGAATTTCTTTTTTTTTTTCATTGAGGAAAAAAGTTGTTGCAGCCACACTGAATGTATGCTGAATTCAAGTCCCCGGAGTTAATTAGTCTGACACCCCCGTTTCAGAGTATGTGTACGAGTATTTGAATCAAGTGCATCCTTACAATAAAGGCTATTTGTCTATACAATTACAGTGTAGACCCAGCCACACTGTATACTGAAATAACAGTGGATAGGTTGTTTACACAGTTGTAGATGGCAGTGCAGGCATGTCGCAAATGTTGCCTTGAGTGAACAGTGAGTTACACAGAGGCAAATTGTACAGAATTACAGTAAGTTTCAAGGAAACCACAAGTACTTTCTAATACAGTCCCATAATTCCACTGAGTATGCCTTTCACAGAGAATTCTCTGCTGAAAGGGTGAATTATCATAATGTATTCCAAAGAAAAAGGCACAGATAGGAAACACAGAGATCGCGGCGACTTCCTCAGTGTCTGGCTCCCCGGGCGTTTGCCATGAAACACCAGCTTCTTTGTGAATAGATTATCTCCTCCTATGAAATTATGTGACATACTGGACCATAAAATCGGTTTCATGCCTGTTATAAAAACCTTAAAATGCTTGGTGAGGCATTCATATAATTGGTCATTAACCTCCAGCAGCATGTCAGAAGCACCATTGTCCCTGCTAACTCCCACTGCTTTTGCCGAAAAACCAATATGTCATGTTGACATTGGCCAGATATCCCACATTCTTAACACAAAACCACTACTGTCCTTGGACATCATTTAAAAAGAAAATCAAGTTCATAATTCTCCCTTAAAAAGGATTCCAAACTCTTTTTTTTTCTGCTGGTGAATAAAATTAACCAGGGGAACTTTTTCCAATAACAGATTGCAAACTTGCTAACGGCCTAAACTTATGACGGGGAAGTTTGGAATTTACTGAAAGACGATACTGTAGAACTTTTTTTCTTCCTCTTTCTCGCCTTGGTGAAGATGTCTTCTGTACTGCTGCAGCCACAGAATCACTGCTGTGTTTTGGTCCCTGACAAAACAAGTGGGTGTACGTGACGCCATCATCAGTGCAAGGGGAATATCAGAGAACACCAGGGCTGCTCTCTGTCACGTCAGGTACATGGGCCTGAAAGGTTTAACAGCATCAATGTTTAACTTGTACTTGAGTACACATGTGACCTTGGCCGATGGTGTGACATCAGAGGCAGAGATGACGCATAAGAACGAGGTTAACAACTGTGAATAGGGGAAATGTAAATACTAAAGTAGTAAATCACTCATCACATTTTACATTTATTAATATTACAGTACGAACACTACCCTCTGTCTTTTTTATTGTGGTCCTAGTTTGATAAACTAGGTTTACTAGTAAAGAACAACTGGAAAGCTGCCTTTAGGGAAAAAAACTAAGAACTGTTGGTCCAGTAAAAAGTCACACGTTTTCTTTGTGTTAGGCAGGAAAGGTACATTGACCAGGACAATTAAAGTGGAGGTGGGAGAACTGTATTCTATGACTATTTAATCAACAATGTCTTTTTCTGCCTTTGACTTTACAGTATCTGTAGAGGAAAGTAATCTAAAAGAAAACAACAAAAACATATTCTAAGTGCATGCAAAGTTGAGTTTGAATTACAAGTGAATAAATAGTGTTTCTGTTAAATAATGTTGCAACAACATTGCATAAAGACGATGTATAGCAACCACTGTATGACTGTATAATTTCCTAATCTTAAATGAAGTGTTCATTGCTTCTACAAATACACAACTTTTACAGGTAAACACATTATCTTTTAGTTATTATTTACCTTTAGCTAAAAAAAGCTTTACTGTACTGTAACTGTAACTGTATAGGAAAATTATTTTCTCAAACCAATTCACAAAAATTATTGCAACATTTTTATCCCTGATAGCCAGGACGTTCTGCTTTGGAATTTTTGGACCAACTGTAGTTAATCAATAATCCTGTATAAAAATGCATATTTTTTAAGTGATTGTGTTTTAATTTAGGCTGTTCCTTGACAAAATTTTAAATCTTCTCACAATAGTTGTGTGTTAAAATGTTGAACGTAGCAAACAGTTATATTTTAGTCACTGCAAATTCATAACACATAGGCAATAAGAAACCAAACCTTTAGATTTTAGATCCTACACTGAGGGCAACTTCATTCTAAGGTTAAAAAAATGGCCTACCTTGGAAATCACAAAGTAATAGATTACAAAACAAAAGTTGACATGAGACCAGTAGTTGAGATGCTGTTACCTTCATTATGCGTTGAAATGTATGATTTGGTGGATAAAAGTAAAATGAACATTGTTTAATTCCTCACTTTAGTGAATTGTAATCAAATGTAGTCTTAACAGAGTCCTTCTTTGTCACTTTGTAAGAAGAGACAACACAAGTGTATGACCTTCAAACAAAGCTCTCAGGTTTCTTAACTCCCATTCTGTTTCTATTAAACCAAAGACTGGCTTCATTAGAAGTAAAACACTGCCAGTGTGACAAAATGCGCAGGAGATACATTTACAAAAATTGCAGTTGACACTTTGAATTGGTTTGGCATTAAGGTGGGATTGTTCTTGTTCTCTGGAGAGAGCGTTAAAGGCCACTCACCTCTATAGGCGACCATTTCTATAATAAATCCCACCCATTACTATTTCCCTCCCATGAATAAGATGGCTGTCCTTGATAGCACAAACCTGGGAGCATATTCTCATTTTACTTCAATTCCTGACCAATTTAAACAAATAAGGGTTGATTTTTCTTCTTTTTTTGTCCAAGGCGGTTGGTGTGCACAAGTGTACCTTCTGTCTCTTCCGCAGACTGAAGTTCTTCCACAGGAGCAGAGTGAATTGCGTCCAGAGACCCATTACGGCTTATCCTGGCAACAGCTTGCCAAAGTGTCACTATGGCAACTGGCCCACTTATTAAAACCCTGGAGGAAATAAAAGGTAGAGTTTGGTTTTAATACAGAGCAGCAATGCATCTTTGGGGGAGTGCCACTAATCACTTGTGCCCCCAGGCCTTCGGGGGCTTGTGGCGCAGCACCTGTTCTAAGAATTATTAACACCTACACCCAGGACAGGGCTGTGTGTCGGCATGAGGAGGTCACATCATTTGGACAGACGATTTTCTTATAGCTGCTATCAGCTTAATTCAAAGGAATGATGAATATATATATATATATATATATATATATATATAGATAGATAGATAGATATATAGATATATATAGATAGATAGATAGATATAGATAGATAGATATCTATATATATATATAAAAAACAGTCTCTCTTCAACAGGACCAAATTCCAGTCAATAGCCTGATCCCTCAGGTACCATCCATCATTCCTACGTGAACAGTCAATAGCTTTGAATCTAATTATGTAAAAGGTTAACAATTTCTAAATTAACACCGATAACTGTTAATAAATGGGTCTAATCAACCATTATAACAGTTAAAAAACACATTTAAATAAAATAGTTCTGTACATTCCTTGTACAGTCTGATATTGACAAAAACATTTTAAAATAATACAATAACTATAATAATAATAATAATAATAATAAATAAATTTAAAAAAAAATTGAGTGATTTCTAAGAGTACAAACATTTGTTACTAAATAGCCTTGGTGAGATAAAGGCCCAGTAGTGGCTCACGTGCACTTCCTGGTCTCACCTCATGTAGGGCAATGACACTCTGTGGACCCTGATAACGGAGCACATGAGGGAGGTGGGGAGATGATATTTACAACAACGTGTTGGGTTTTAATGCTCCATTTCCTCTTCCTTAACAGCAAGGACTACAGTTTTGTTGATGTCCTATTTACTGTCTATGGAAACCGGGGGAATCCTTACTTTCCTAACAAACTGCATCAACTGGTGGCCAGCCCACAGAACCGTCTCATCCTGTGACTGGACTCCAACATAAACATCAAATAATGTTAGACAAAAATTCTATTTTCCAGCCCCCAAGGTGTCCTTCCAGAAACATTCTGGCAATCCAACAAACATAGTTGGACAGCCATGGAATAGAGAATTAAAAAGAAACCAAATCATTACGTGGTATTGGTATTATATTCAGATTAAGTAAATTCTTATTAATTCCCAAGTCCAGTATTACTCTTCAGTAATAATAGTTTCAAAACTAAATTGGTTTTCCTGAATTTTCACACATTTTTCTTAAGTGCAAAAAGCAACTTACCATTCTTTCTTCAGCCTTTAGTCTGTGAAATATTTTTATACCTTCTGCAACGAAGAGAGTTATGGAACTACCAAAACACTCAGAGGCCGGCTCCTTGTCAAAGACGCCTACTGTATGCATGAATACGCAGCTCCATTAGGTGCTTCTATAATTGAAACGTTGGCTCAGAACTGCTTTCAAGCCACATCTTTTGGAACATGTTATGTGAAAGGACAACCCTGTCCCATCTTCACTTCACATCAAGCATAAAGGATAAACAAGCCTCCTATAAATACGCTCCATCCGTATGTCAGAAAAGATTAAAAGATTTTGTATGTTTCTGTGAAATACGGAGTTGTATTCTTGACTTATGGTCTGGAATTCCACATATAAAGAAAATACAAGTGGGGGTAGGATTTTGATTTGCATCGCAGATGCAATCTAACAAAAGACAATAAAGACGGTTCTCAAGTGAACCAAAACCAAAGAGTGTGAAGATCATCTTTTTAATTCACGACTTGGGGCGCAGTGAAAAACTGAAACACGTTTTCTTTTTTTTGTCACATTTTGGGACTTCTTTTTTCCTCCAAGGTTGTCAACATGAGACGCTGTCATCAGCTCTTCGTGGCATCATTAGTTCCAAAGAAAGGGGCATAACGGGTAGAAAAGCAAGATTGCAGCAATACAACAAATGAAGGCAAACTATTGAGAGGATATAAGTGCTGATGCATGCCTGGCATTTGGCGAGTAGGAACACCAGAGTGTGTTATTTCTGCCCCAAGGATGACAGATAGCGTAAACAGATATTTGTCATACAGCATGGGAGCAGAGGACGGCAGAGAAAGACTGAAACATCAGTTACCAGGGCCCTGCTGTGGCTCCATGAAGGGTGTATTGGTCCCTCTGCTCCTCAACTTATAGACATTTCTTTTCTTTTTCTGTTAACCATGACCTATGACTCTTGTTCAAATATTTAGACAGAACCTCAAGTTATATGACATACAATACTATTAGGGTACTATTAGGACTAAAAATAGACATATTTACATTAACAAAGGTAGAAAATGAATGAATGTCATTCTGCCCATAACAAAAATACACATATTGTATTGTATAAAACATTTTAATAGGAATATTTTCACAAACTAATAAAGGCATTAAATTCAAATCCAAGTCCAAATCATTGCTGAAAAAATATACATATCAATTTCTCCTCAGTTGTCGCTTTTAATTTTAATTCACAATACAATAGAATTTTGCAATGTCATGCTGGAGGCCATCGGCCTCTGACACACAAATTACACAGGTATGGCTGTTATAAACTGGTTTATTGCTGTTACTGTGATGTAACTGTGTTTGGCAACAGTGGGATATGATGTATCACATGTTTTATTCCCCTGTGCAACAGTTGCCCTTGGGTATGTGCAAATATGAGGAGAGACTTACACAACTGACTACTGATTAAGTACTCTAGTTAAAACAAATATTGTCATGCCTTACTGTGTATTTGCTATATTTGGAGGATGAGAAAATGCTGTGCAAAAAAATTGTAAATATTAGTCAAATTTCTCAACTTTTCTAAATTACCCATTGGACAGCTTCCTTCCCTAGATATAGATAGACTGTTTAGAAGAAATGGACAGAGCTTTCTGGCCGCACACTAGGTTGTTATAGGAAGCCCGGGGAGAAAATAGAAAACTTTAGAAACAAAGCACTGAACACTCTAAAGTCTTAATCGCTATTTCCAGGAACATTTTTACTTCTCTTACCTCTTCTTTTTTTATATATATATATATACAGTCAAAGTCAGTAAGAGTCGGTAAAAGAATGAAAGCAAAAGAACCTTTTAACAGGAGCCTCGTTCCAAGCAACGACACAGTGCAACCAGACTCCTGACCCAGTTATCAATTACATTAGTAACAGACACTGCACTGGTCACTCTAACGTGGATTTCCAGGTCAGGATTTACAGCTTCAATTGAAGCAAATTGGATTTCAGCTTTACATGATTTCATATTAGGCCCTGAAGTAGCATTTATCTTTATATTGAGACCCTATAGTTGTAAATAGTACAGTCTAATCTGATTTACATCCCATCATATGTTATAATCAGGTCAACATAAGCAAAAGATCCTGTGCAGATCATTATTTTATAAACAGAAAATATAATATTAATTTTATACAAAAAATAAAACAGTCATGGAATTGATATCTGCTATTAGGAGCAGATAAATGTCGGCAGTGATGTCTGATGCTTCACTTTTGTTCCATACTTTCTAAACATTTTTATTTAGAGAAGTTGTAATGCCGCTGGTAAAACCGTTTTACTACCGTCTTGTTTAAAAGTTTTAAGCACAGTACATTTACAAAAACATAGGGTTGGGAATTTCACCAGTAAATGTGAACATCTGGACTTGAACAACGCCCAGAAGCTGTTTTTTACAGCCTATCCAAAAGCTGACATTCATTTGAGACAATAGCCTAAATCAGACACCACAAATTTAAATGACTACATCTTGGCATTCATAGAGATTGACTTAAAAAATAAAAATAAATTCTAGAATTGTATTTATTTTCATTCCCTTGTTAGTGCTATAATAAAAAAGAGGAACCTAGCTAATTACTCTAAAGAAAAGTGATATTTTTACACTTTGGTTACTTTTTCCTGTCAATCACTCCAGGGTCTAACTGTACGTTCATTAGAGACACTGGGTGAACAATGATTAAAAAATGATTAACACTGTATGGACCTAGCCGACAACTAACATATGCCATTCAAAAAGCATTAATTTTTGACATGCAGTATGTACAGTACCTGGTACAAAGGTTGACTGTATGTCAGGCTAGCTTAGCTTTTATAGCCCCTCTGTGTAAATCATTAGCATCATGTCAGATTGCTCAGAAACCTCAGCCTAGGCAAAAGTTCACTGTCCTTTCGGATCTGAATAAGGAAGGACATAATATTCTTTTGTAAATCATAAGTTTGCCTATTTGATCTACCACAAAAAAAAAAAACCAGAGACAAGCAACAACAGGAGAAGAAAAATCAGCATCACAGATTGATAAACAACACAAGTCCTGTTAGAGAAAAAGTGTAAAAACATAACGTACCTTCAAGCTTTTTGGTTCTGGCTCATCCTCACATTTCCAAAGGCCTTACACTTGGAACTCCTGTAATCCAACGACTCATGGGGGAAGAGAAAAAAGCACCGTCTTCTTAAAGCATGTTGTCGCCTTCACAAGCTTGGCTCCAACCCTCTGTCGCTGTCACCTCCAACCTGAAGTCATAAAGTATGTAAATGAACTGTGCTGAGCCTGTGGTGGCAACTGTAGCCACACTAGTGCTGCAGCGTGGGGAGCACACAGGTGGTGTACATAACACAGTGTTACGGTGAGCCCTGCAGCACCGCCGCATATGTCTCCTTCTTGTACTTCTGTCTGACTCACCTGGAGAGGCGCAGAGGGTAAACAGGAGTGCAAGCCCTACAATGGAAAGGCCTTGTTTTTACATTTATCTGCTGCGTAAGCTTGCCCCGCTGAAGTAAACGTTGGAATACAAACACCTGTTGACTTAAGCACAAATTATTTTCATGAGCTCATTAGTGGCTTTCTTTCCATTTAGTGTGTGTGTGTGTGTGTGTGTGTATATATATATATATATATATATATATACTTTTTTTGACTGCCGCTGTATGGATCACATGAGGAACAGGTAGTCAACAGTAAGTGTAGTGGCCATGAGGGTTTATGGCAGCCATATAATTTGGTAACAAGGGGCTAAGAGTTTATTGTGCTGGGTGATAAAGAATAATATCAGGTGGGAGGATATAATCATGCAGATGAGTCGGGTGTTGGTTGATGGAGGATGTAGACAGGAAATAAACAAGGAGGGATCGGAATAAATAGTATTTAACTATCATTAGGAAGAACAGCAGCCACAACAAAGGGAGCTACTCCTGATTAAACTTCACTTTTAGGAACAGTCTGGCTGCTAGAAATCAGCTCCTAAACGCATCATACTTTCATATCATGTTAGGTCAAATACTCAGAAAGCAGATACATTCTCTCCAATGTGATTCATTCATGAGTTGCTGGTTCATTCTATCCTTGCAGGTTAGTTACACACTCACACTCACTCCTACTAAGAGAGCTTAGGTGAAGCCCCCACTGCCCAAAAGTAATTGCTTCGACTAATAAAGTGCTGCTGCTTGAAGGTGCCAATGTGGTGGAATACATCTGCTGCTCCCAAGTCATCTAACCTTGTATTAGTCCAACCGCAGTAATGAAAAATAAGACGCACTTTAGCAACAGCGCTTCCTTGTTATTGAGTTTCAGGATACCTTTAGGAGAAAAGATGATAATGGGAACTTCAACCTGAGGAGATGATACATGCCAAGGGCCAAAAACTGAAGGGGAGGATTAGTGTCACGCTAGCAAAAAGGAGGTTTGGACAGAAACTAGAAATTCACTGCAGTAACTGGAGTCTGTTATTTTAACAGGACTGGAACTGCGGGGCGTATTAAATTAATTAAAAGTTTTTAAGTGAACTGCAGATACATGGGCTCAACCAGATGTCAAACTATTCAAACAGAGGGCTACGTCGTCATAATGATTGTCCTGGAAGGGCCAGTTATTACTAACAGTCTTTAAAAATGACATGTTGACAATATTTTTTATATCTGTACTTGATCACTCTTAGAGCTGTAACAATTCATCATGAATCAGTTAAATGTTAATACAATTTGTGACCGGTTGAAATTAAAAATCTATTTGTACATTAAGGCATATGGAGTTGGCTGCTTTATCTCAAAGTCAGTGTTCACACCATGAGACTAAACACTAGCACACACTAGTAGGCGGCAGTATGCACCTCAAAACATTAGTTGTGACCAGATTAGGCCACATCATGTCCCTAAGTGACATTCAGGTATTATAAACAGGACGTGGGAAGAGCTTTTATATTCTTTTGTTGTTTAATATAGTGACAGTAAGGGAGGTAAACGAGACCTGACCAGTTTGACTTTTAATAAGAGGTGATAAATGGTGATGTGCAGTGTTTCTGTAAAGAAATGTACGCAAGTTATTTAAGATGACAATGACAGTTGATGAGGTACACATAACAAACATGATTCCAATTCATCCAATTTGGAGTTGTATAACTGAATTAAAGGTTAAAACTTGGAGCAAATAACAAATATTATTTTACTATAATAATCACAATAAAAATCTAAAAAGAAAACTTACAAATAAGTTAATGTTTTGTCACAGTTGGGACAAAAGGCCACACATTTTATGAAGCATGAAAACTGATTAGTTATTAAGTAACTGAGAACATAGTTGACAGAGACCGAATTTAACAAATGCCAATGGCAGCACACTGTCCTGCAGGGGGTGCAGATTTTAAATATAGTACAACTCATTATTATTGACACAACACATAGCTTTCTTCATAAAATAACATATTTATAATTAGTTCAATACCACAACTAGAACTATCTTGCAGTTGTCTCACAGGCCACATACTGTATAATGACTTGATGTCATTATGACACATGCCTTTGGTTAGCACCCTTGTGCTAGACAAGCCTACTTTCTTTGTTCTACATATTACACACAGACATTAGTCGGACGACTAATTCCCTAGTTAGCAGCAGTTAGCCTCCATGTGGTAGTCTGTGTCGGCTGCAAAGACTCACACTGGAAATGTCCTTATTGTGAGATGAAGATGGGGCTCGATTATTAGTAGTCTTCAGAGTCAAATGGACTGATGATCAGTCAACTACATCGCTGCCGTCCATCTACGGCGGGACACACCTAGGAGCCCAATCCTCTCCATTCATCTCTTGTCTTTGTTTGCCTTGAAGAAAAATTACAATAACAATTGCTGTTTGTGAGGAAATGTTTTCTGTATCTGATGTTGTATATGGTCTAACAAAGTGGCCACAAAGACCAGAACTGCTCTTTCTGAACTGACCCACACATGTAAAGTGATGCATCTGTCAGAGCTGCCGTTCAAACACTTTGTACCATATTGCTCTCATCATTGCTTAGACTAGCTGTAGTGCTAAACAGTTCACAGGCTGACTCTGGTTGCTTTGATTTTGTGTGAGTTAATGCCTGCAATAGCAGCAGGACGAGGCCAGAATGTGTGCTTACATCCCAGGCCTTTAAAAAAAAAAACATCAGAGGGATGATCACAGATGGAAAATATCAACAGTAAACATCACAGACTGCTTGCCGAGAGTTCGACAGATGAGGGAGACGAGCCAGATAGAATACCGTGGAGATCTCCTGGAGAGTCTGTGCCCCAACACAATCTGGAGTCCCTCTCTCTGCTTCCTCTCTCTAGGTTGATGAAATAGGGAGTGAACACATAGGTGCTTGTTAACCAAGTTTGGCCAGACAGCCTAGACAGCTGACGAACACTGGACAGAGAAGAACATTTGACAGCCCAACAGGGTCACAGCAAACACCTTTGTCCTTAGATTTGGTGTTATGTCTTTCTCTCAGCTCTGGAAAGTTTTCCAAATATTAAAAAGAAAAAAAAAAGTTGAGGGAAACAAATAACAGGCTCCTTTCGACAGATGCTGTTGCCCACCGCTTCTTCCCAACTCTCGGCCACGGGTGCAATGGTATTTGTTTTGACTTCAGCCCACACAGGCTATGCAGAGACACAGGAACAGTCTTCACTGTAGGGTTTTTTAAAACTTGTGTAGTTAATTTTATGATATTGCCGTAACATGGGATGCAGTCAAATGACGACGTGTGAAAAAACAACACCTTAAAGTGGACATATGGGCGTCCATTATGTTCAGGCAGGACAGTATTTTTAAAGTGATATTTGTGATGTACTTGTTTCTCTGAGATTAAAATGTTTTATCTGTGAACTGTTTAGTACTACAGCTACTCTTAGTGAGACAATAGGGTACAAAGTCATGTGTCCAGCAAGGATTTGCACAGTGTTTGAACGGTAGCTTCGACAGATGAATTACTTTACATGTGTGGGTCAGTTCAGAAAGAGCAGCTCTGGTCTTTGTGGCCACTTTCTTACAGAGTTCTTCAACTCAAATTACACAAGGTCTGGTTAAGACCAATGAGGGTCAACACACAAACTTTGAAACAAAATTTGAAATGTAGATTGAGTATTTATAAAAAAATATATATATAAATTATTCAGATAACTTTTGTAAAATGATTAGACAGACAGAAAAAACTTTATTAATACCAAATCCATGCAACATAAAAAAATATTAAAAAATATATACAAAATACTTTCTGCCTTTTGACATTTCCTTATCCAACACAGTAGTTAATTTTGCACACCAAAAACATTAACAGTATTGTTTGACTTAACTTTTGTCAACTGGTCATGATTACTGTGACAGCTGCCCTGTGATTTATGACAATAAAAATTTGAATTCTTTGACAGCCCTACTTCTAACTATCTATGTCTCATATTGTTGGAAGAATTTAATTTATTATCATTGATTCATGCTGTACTGTCGCTTTAAGGAACTGTTTGCTTCTCATATTATAATCTAGTGTGCTCAAGACTGATGGAGAAATTACCAGACACAGCCACAGCCCCATTCACACCCACCTTCTTACTCCATACCCATTCATATACTCAAACACGATCACATAATATGTAATCTGATACTTTTGTAAACTAAATAAAAGAGCAGAGGAAGGTTGCTGCAACCCGGAGTTGATGAGAAAGCTGCCAGCAGAGCAAGCTGCACTCTCCCCTTGCAAGTAAAATGTCCAGACGTATTTTGTGTTGCAGCGTAAATACATGACAAGACCAACATTATCTGGCTCAAAGTTCATATGCAGTGATGTTGCCCTTTATCTTTTTCCTACAAGAGTAGAGGAATCATTGTCTTCATTTTATATCCGACCTTAACAACGTTAGCCAATACGAGTATTTTCAGGGGTAGACAAAGAAAATGTGGATTTATTTTTGCTTTGTCTCAATATCATGTGAGGTACAGAGTTTATTTTAGCCCACAGTTTTGAATTTTTAAGTATACGACCTTTACTCCCAAACTGTCTCAAACAGAAGTCAAGATAGTAATTACATTTTCACATCCAATTGTCCAATAATGCTAATTTTTCTAAATACTATTCTTATTTTGAGGTAAAGTTTAGAGAATCACATGCTTGCACCACATACTTCCCTTGTACACAGTGTGATCACTGAGCTAATACTTAGCAGCAGGCAGCCAGGTGCGACACCTGCTGCCATTCTAACATGTAATACACAAGAGCCAACTGTGCCAACCATGTTGTTTGCCAACACATCCACAGGGCCAAAGTCAACACCAGTATCATGCACAGTCGTTGGTCCTGCTCCGTGAGCTCAGCTGATTAAATCAGCCTGTACTGATGAAAATTGTCTCTTAAAACGAAAGGTGTTAACTAATTTTGGAGTCCAACCGCAGTTGCAACTTTCTGAATTCTACCAAATTATTAACCAGGCTTTTCTTTGGTTTATATTTAATATCAAGGCATCATAGTTTATAATTCAGAGTTAGCACGGTTAATACAACAAAGTGATCCGACATTTTTAATATGTTTTAAAAATAAGTGAAACACCAGACCTGTCGTCAGGCATTTTCTATGCTACAATCCTGGTTATTAAACTCATTACTCAATAAACTACATTTTCCTGGTAGTTTCACCATGTGCAGTCTTATGGCTGTTCACTGCAAGAGCAGACAGACATTTAGGCAGAAGCATAAAAACAAAAGCAGCCCTCACGGCAATCTTTCTTTTTCAGACAAACGAAAGAATGTCTATGTGAAAACATTTGCCTCTTATCTGTAAACACCACATTTCAATCGTCAAAAATCAAGTTTAAATAAACACATAAGTCAAGAGGAACCACATTATAACAAGGTTAAATTTCCATTTAAATTCCAATGACAGGCAGGCAGAGCTATCAGAGTGAAAAAGAACGAGCAAAAAACAAGTTTTGACAGGACACATTAAATTCCCATTTTCTCCAGGAGCAGAACTGTATTTGGTCACTAATCTTTATACCGATTCTGCCAGTCTGGGATGAGCTGTACATCAACCATAAAGGTAATGGCGTTTTTTTTTGTCCTCTCTTCAAAGTGTCAAAGTACAAAAGATGGACAAATATCTAGGATTTTTGATGTCTTCTTTGATGACTATTAACACATAGAGCAAAAGCATAGAGCAAAACTCCACGACATACCTTAAAACCAGGGCTTCACAGTTAGGCCACATTCTTCAACCACGGGAGTCATTTGGACCAGACGTTTTAGTGGCTTATGGACAGGTGCAACTACAGAAAGAAATGGACAGAAATCAATGAATGATTTGAAACACAATAAATGCTTCTCCCCATAATCTGTAGTATGTGGCAAAAAACAAGCATTTTCAGTCCATGCTGGGTTGAAATGACCTTTTAAAAATATATTTATTCTTTACTTTGAGACAGACATGTTGTTATGCTGTTAATTAACTTCTAGAAACACAAGTGAGGCATTGTGGATGGCATGCTGCATTTTGAATCTTAATATTAGGTAACTGAAATGGAGATGCAGTTCAGTCAATGTGACCCTATTTTACCATAGAAGTAAACATTAAATGATAATTAATTACACAGGAGGAAGAAACCAGGGTAGCAGAATCTTCTTATTAATCATAAAATATGATTTGTTACAACAAGTAGAGGAATAAAGAATAGTAGGAAAAGTTCATAAAAAAATCAAAAAAAATCAATGCCAATCCACAATGGAAAATGTTAAATTTTTTTGTATCAATTGTAAAAAAAACAACAAAACATTGTTTTGCTGCATGCAAAACTAGATACAAGGAATAAACAAAGGCAGATTTAACTGTGCTTCACATTTAAATTACAAACAAACCTAAAACCTAAAACTGTATAATGTTAGTGTCACTAAGATTAAACCCCTTTTAAGTTTCCAAAATCAATGCCAAAGAAGATTTCCAGCAGCGCATTTGTCATTTAAAGCATCATTTTCAGAAAGTAACAAGAAGAGAAAAAATCAATTAGAGGTTGAAGGAAAGAAAAAAAAAAAGTTTTGTTATTTACTAATTATTTCAGTAGTAGACCAACCTTGGAAAAAAGGAAAGAAAATCAGAAAATTAAGAAACATTTTAATCAACATTTTTTATTTTATTATTTATGGTTCATTTTAACTAATACATTATGTTTCAGTTCTCTGGAAATTACAATTTGGAGTTTTTAGACTAGGGGGGAATGGGTTACACAGACCATCACACAGTTGTTGCCTGTGCAATGATAATTTATATGTTTTGTACTAAATGGCCACAAAAATCTGAGAACTGATGTCTCAGAAAGACTGATTTTCCCTTTTTTCCCCACATCAACTCAACCTGGATTTTGCACACAAGCCGTCTCTGACATACTGTCAGCTGTCACTAGGGTTTATTGAACACAGACATGCCTTCCAAAGCTGGGGAATACATTTAATACCTACACTGTAAACTCCAGCACAGACACTGATAATGGAAATAGAATTTCTGTCTTCTGTTGGTTAGGGACACATCAGAAAACAAACCCATTTGTCGTTTCCATCGTTTTTCTCCCACTTTATTTCATCTATAGTGGACGGACTCGGTTCAATATCTAATTATGCTACCAAAACTGGTGAAAAAATAACTCTGTGGCTTGGAACCTGGACACTTTGTGGAGAGAAAATAACATTGTCTGATTATTTATTGAGAAAGAAAAGAAAAAAACGAAAAAAACTTGTGGTTGTGATATTACGGAGCAAACCTCAAATTAAGGTAATTGGACAATTTATATGTTATTTCCTGATGATATTGAATGGATTTTAAGGGCAAAACTTTTAAGGGCTTTTTTGCACACTGTACATAACATTGAAATTGACATTATTTATCATACTGTAAAGGCGTCAAAGTGAATTAGTGCTTTAATTTGGTGAGTAGTGTGTTTATGGATCCACATCAAAGAAAATGGCAGGGTGCTAACGGCAGGCCGTGTTCCCAAAGTAAACAATCAGCCGAGTCAGACACAAACTCAGACACAAATGGACATGTACCGATGTCAATTAGTACTATTGCCAAATTGGCTGTTAACCCCTTTTCTTAAGGTTTATCAGAAACCAGACATCACGTAAGTTGATAAAATCTGCTGAATCTTATCATTTTAAAATAATTTATGCACCATGAAGGTTATTTATATAATTTAAGAGGAGGTTTTACATTAGAGATTATATTTACAAAAACATTATAAAAAAAAAACAAAAGTTTGCCGCAATTGCTGTAATTAGTGATTTTGCTAATTTCCTAGAATTTACCACCGGTTTATCTCAAAGGAACATATAGGTCCTTTCTTCACAAGAGGGCATAGCATTTTAATTTCCAGAAAACACTTGCTGAAGGATTTGGGAAGTCAAAATTAGTATGTGACTAACTAATGGAAGAAGAAGCTACTGCTGACGGTGCTCGACTTTCTGCTTGTCCTAATAGAAATTACATTAGAAAAAGCCCGGCCACTCTGTTAGACCTTCAGTGTCACTAAAAGGCAGCAAAACATTTAAATAAACCAAATCTATATTGATTAGTTGTAGAAGAGAAATGAACTGTCAAAATTATTATTATTATTATATTATTATTATTATTAACAAACTTCAAACCTGACACACATAGTGTAGTGGGGTATCTAATCCTACACCCACAAGCGCTGTCAAGCAGTCAGTTAAGGTTTTTATGCACTGACAACAACTCAACACTTAGATGTCAAGTTGACTTTTGAGACTGGAGGATGTGACAACAAACTGCTGTCTCCAGGTCTTTTTGTTGGACAGTAAATAGTTGGTTATCTCCTCATAAAATGTTTTCCACTACGTTGCTAACTCCGACCCTCGCACCAAGCAGCCTGCGTGACACAAACACAGACATTATAAATTGATCTTAGAGTGATACTACAGCCTTGAGCTCTGGCTGTCTTTACAGGAAATTGACTTGTATCTGTTTGTGCTGTATTCCAGAACAAGAGGTTGCTTTGATTCACCTCTGTGCATGAGGGAAAAGAGTCAATAAGGGTGGATAAACTTGCCAGAGGATATTTGCCCGCGCTGCATCAGTCTCCTGATAAAGACCAATAATAGAAGGTACTCGCTGCAGCAGCTGCACAATTTGGTTTGAGTTGAACAACACACTGATAACTTCAAATAAAAAGCAGAAAAAAATAAAGTCAATTCACTATCGTGTGATTTTGGAATGCAGGAGACCTCTTTCTTACAACACAAGAAAATAAACATTAAAAAGCAACATTTTTAACTTAAAGAGTAATTTAAATCCCGGTTTAGCTCCAGATCAGCTGAAAAACACTCTTTTTTCTGACAGTCTGTGTGACTTTTTATCAGCTTCTGGTTGACAATGGATTTAAGAAAAAAAACAAAAAACAAAACAAAGGTCAGACAGCAGACAGCTCAGATGGGATCCAAAAAAAAAAAAAAAAAAAAAGAGTTTATCGATTTGCTCAGGTTATTTGCTTATGTGACACACTCCACAGCCTGTTATTCCAGCAGGAGGTTGACTTCAGGCTCAGAGTATGAGCAGGTAGTATAAACCTGTTTCCAAAAAACAAACAAGCTGGAACAATAACAATGGAAAGAAATCTGTGTTGACCAGATGTATGGACAAATAACCAATTCATTTTGTATTTTTTTTTTTTTTTTTTTGCATGTTAGATATGACTAAGCCAAGACCCAATGGGACTTCCAAATCCAGGCCACCAAAGTGGTGATGACAACACAAAGTAACGCCCTAGTGATGGACTGACAACAAAAGAAGGCAGTTGATGTGGCAATTCCACGAGGGTACACAAGAGGCTTGAAAATTCTGAGGACTGAGAACTCAACTAAAAAGGATGTGCAAAATGAAAAGCATCAGTGATGCTTGTGCTAATTGGCCCACTGGGTGTTGGACACACATTGGGCAAGTGTCTACAGCAGATTCTAGGTACAACATCTGAGATCTTTGCCTAGAACAGTGTAGTCAATATGTTGAACCAACGAGATTTCAGTACACTGTGCAATGGTGTTTGTAATGCAGTGTTTTAAAAATATTTTTCTCCATCTGTGAACATTGTTTACACACTGGTGTTCAATCCCAAAGCTATGTTGCTGTTACCACTGGTACAACAGGGACCAGCCGGTTGATTTGGGCAACGATACTAGTATCAGGATGATTTCATCCAAACACAGGTGACTGATGATCACGATTTAGCTGTGATATACTGTACACAGTGTTATCAGGAGATTATTGTTTGGTGTTCCATTTTAAACCCCTTTGTATTTGTTTTTTTCACCAATGGGTCACAGAATCACCACCTCAAGTAGATGGCACCCTACTGGACCTTCAACAATTGCTGACCAAATACAATTTCATCAACAAAGTCCAATGTTTAACAACTAATTATATCTTTTAGCTATACTGTATTATGGAATGTAAAACTCTCTTCTTGGTGGATTACAAACATCCATGCAACTAATCAGTATGCAAGATATTTATACAAGCTCTACATAAAATACTCTGTTGTAAGGATTTTGGTGAGAATCTGTACTCAAATTCACATCCAAGCTGATTGACAGTCAGTGGCAGGAAAGTGACAGCAACGTAACAGTCAAGAGACATGCAAAAAAACACAGGTTTAAAAAGAAAGTAAATATTTGCGTGAACAAGTCTAGTCAGACACACAACCACCTGCAGCAGTACCGAAGTGGTGAATGTTGGACAAACCAGTCTCGGTAGGTGGAGGAAGGCCACTGGGGAAGTATGAAGAGAAACTTCTGGAGGATACAGAGATGTGTGTGTTTGCTGTTGTTGGTGTACCCTAAAAATCAGTTCCCGAAGGTATTATATTTTATATTAAAACAATCATGCTGTATGGTTAAGGACCTTTCAGCCAAACTGTCAAATCATATCTTTTAACATAGTGACAACCAATCAGGAAAAACAGCCACTGCCTGGCTGCCGCAATGTAACATTTCAAAGAAGAGAACTTAGCATGAAATGTCAGGGCAAACATTGACTCTGACAGGCTGACCATTGAGGTAATCCACAGCTTTGGTAATGCTGCCACTCATGGTGTCTCCGCAGTCTCTCCCTGAGTCTCCCTGAACACCCTTGGGAGTTGGAGGAAGGTGGAAAGACTGAAGATTTTGACTGATGACTTTGAGTAATGAATGGTAGCTGGAGCCAAGTCGGAGTAGCAGGGGATTGCAGTAAGACTTATTGCACCACCTTCAGAGACTGTCTTCCAAG